CCTACATAGTGAAACAATAAAACTGCTGCAATAAATAAAATTAAATAAATCCCTTCATCCGGCCCGCCATCTCTTAAAATCTTGCAGAACTAAATTATATTTTATAGTAATTAGATTATATAGTACAGCGTATAGTATAGAAAACAAAGACCAAGAGATAAGTTTACTTACTGATGAGCAGTGGTTGGCTTATCTAACTTTCCTGGTGGATAAACTAAATATCTTTCTGATGTTAACTTGAAACTGCTAAGGAAAGACCAACTATGCACACAGTTATATGAACTCATTCTAGCTTTCACAAAAAAAGCTGTTGTTGTTGGAAAGCAGCTAGAAAAAGCATTTGATTCATTGGGAGACCTTATCCTCAAAAAAGCAAGATAGTTTGGATTTTGACAAGTACGTGTTGTTGTTAATTCAAAGATTTAGATTCGCATATTTCAAATCACAAAGTTGAAATTGAAGGCGCAGCGCTGAATGCACATAATTACCAAGCAGCTCTCATCCAAAAGTATATTACACCCAATCAATACCCAAACCTTACTAAGCTGACTATTCAACAAATTTCTTTATTTGGTAGTTCATACGTTCGCGAGTGGCTGGTTTCCAGTATGAAATTTAACTAATCTAAAACCACATCATCTTTATCAGATAGCCATCTTAAAAGCATTTTGTGCATAATCACTTCTTAGATGCGCTGTGCAAACAGAAAAAATGTCAGACATCTCATTAATATGATTTTAAGAATATCTTTATATGCGCGCTAAGACCTAGAAGACATAGTTACAGTAATAATAATTATATATTGATTCCTTATATTTTATTTATTAAACTTTATTGACCAGTAATAAAAAAAAGGTACAAAAGGCGGACTTAATGCTAATGGCATTCTCTCCCAGTCAACCTTTAGGAAAAACGATAAACGCGATTTTCACGCGCACTACCTATAAATGAAACAACTTTTAAACGGTTTCATCACGTTTGTATGTAGCTTACCTGACATTTAGGACCCTTTACGGGTTCCGTGTTCACATAAGACTATGGTGTTGATTGTCTTTTAAGGTGATGAAACCGTTTAAAAGTTGTTTCACTTATTAATAACAATACGAGTATATTAAGGTTTATGTGATGTTGGTTTTTATAAATAAATAAATAAACAAAGACTGCTTTTGTTTTTTTTTTTTTCGAAAATGTTGGCCCTTCACAAAATTTTGTTGGACAGACAGGAAATTTTTATTAAATTGGAAATTATAAAGGACCCATTATATTTCATAGGTCTATCAGTCTTTTTCTGTGAATGTCATTGATTATTTGGAATATGAAAGAAGAATAAATTATATACAAAATTGTGATCGAGAGTGGCATACCTTAATAGCAAATCATGTTTTCTAATTATGATTTAGTAAAAAATACTCGTAAGTTACCCGATTACAGTAAATCACGCTCTAAAAAGTTTAAATCAAGCTATTATAATAAATATAGTTATTATAGTGTATACGCTGACGGCGACCTATCGGCTCGACACAAAAACACTCGCTGGAGGAGGAAGCGCGTGCGGCGCCGACGCGCAACGCGTACCGCCGCGCACGCCTCAGCGCCGTCGGCTCAGCGTTATTCTAAAACCAGCCTTAATACCTTTTCCTATCTAATCTTAAATATTTTGTAATTTTGGACATTTATAGCCAGGAGATTAAATGATTAAATGTGGAGATTAAATGTGAGGAGATTAAATGGCAAAAGATCCCCTGCATCGAAAATTAAGATGGACGTTCCGCAGGGCTCAATACTTGGTCCTTTCTTGTTTTTGATTTACACAAATGACTTGCCTTATTTCGTAAGGGATGATCACGAAATAGTTTTGTTTGCGGATGACACTTCACTCTTGTTTAAAGTCTTGTTTAAAAGAGGGTTACCTCTAAATGACGATGTGAACAATTCTATCTCTAAAGTAGTACATTGGTTTAATGTAAATAATCTTCTCCTTAATGAAGGAAAAACAAAATGCTTAAAATTTGTACTGCCTAATGTTAAAAAAGTAGATATAAATGTTAATATAAAAGATAAGAACATGGGCCTTGTGGATACCACAGTATTTTTAGGAATAACATTAGATTCTAAACTACAGTGGGGCCCATATATTGATAGTTGTCGAGTAGACTTAGCTCTGCAGCATATGCCGTAATGAAGATACGTAGGTGAACTGACATAGATACTGCCAGATTAATATACTTCAGTTACTTTCATAGTGTTATGTCGTACGGTATCCTATTGTGGGGAAATGCTGCCGACATACAAACAATTTTTGTGCTTCAGAAAAGAGCAATTCGATCAATTTATAATCTTAGGATTAGGGACTCTTTAAGGGAGAAATTTAAGGAAATAGACATTATGACTGTTGCTTCTCAATACATATACGAGAACTTAATGTACGTTCGTAAAAATATTAGTTTGTTTTCTATAAAAAGTGATGTACACAATTTTAATACAAGAAATAAAAATAAATTAACGGTGGTTGTCACTAGACTGCAAAAAGTTAATAACTCATTCAACTCGGTCTTTGTGTGCGCTTCTACAATAAGGTCCCAAGCAAAATACAACAATTAGATATCATGCAGTTTAAATCTACTATTAAAAAAGCTTATTATAAGGTATCCGATTATATAACAGATAAGAACGCTTGGACTTGAGATGATCCAGCAACTGGATAGGTGATTACTTCTAAACTCATTATCTTGTTTCGATTATTATTTAATGATTATGTTATCATTATAAGACCATAGTTTTTTTTTTCTATCTCTGTTTATAATGTATTGATCTGGGTACTCAAAGAAGCCTATAAACTGTAATCCAAACACTGTACGTCACGCTGCAGCGTTCTTACACATCGGTTTCACCAATCTTGGAGTGGACCGCGCCTTCTGGTTCACCCTTGACGGTACGTATTTCCACATGATAATAACTCTTTAGCCTCCAATATCAGTAATGCTATTCTGTTAAAAAATACCCTCGATCTCGTCGTAAATCGAAATAAAAATATAACTTTTCATTTGAATTTAGAATTTCATTGGTCCGATACTGAAATAATAACCAGAATGGGACTTAAAGGTGGTTTTGAACTTTGTAATAAATTAATGTAATCTTGTCAAGTTTTGGCTCGTTTATTTGGCTATTCGAGATCCAGTCCAGTAAAAGAAAATTTTCTTTCTTGCTTTCTTAATACTTGTGATTTTTGTTTGGCAGCTAAGTTTTAATTTGAGACACACAGAATTTTATATTTTGTAGCAATTTACCAAGCATCTATGTACAGTAGTTAAATAAGACACCAATGAGCTTGTCTCCGAGTGTTATTTATATTTAGCTGTCTCAGATTTTTTTAAGACAAATAAAGCAATTCTACTAATATGTATTAGCGTAATACGGAAAGTCAATAGCGCTTTAATTAGAACTCTTTATGACACAGTTATTTTTGGTAGAACTAATAAATGATATATTTCAATAAGACATTGTACCTATAACAATGTTGGACTTCGGGTAGGTAGTACAATGGCAAAATGAAAATAGTTGGGACTCTTTTAAGATGCGTTTATCCTGTAAAAATTAACAGAATTGAGGCCAAAGTAACTCGGTGGCGTAGTAGATAAGCGCAGCGTCCCGCGATCCTTGCTGTCAAGCAACTTTCGCAAAAAACGGGATGGTCGATCAAAAAATATTATTCATGTGAATGCATGTGAAGCCGTTGTGAAGCTGTTGGTGCTGCATGTTCAGTCGATAATAGGAGGGTCATAGCCTATCCTCCTTGAACAATCACAAGGAAGTCCTGCCTACCTGGGTCCTATTCACCTTGCAGTGGAAACGTTAAAGGGCTGATGATTAATTCATAATGTTTTCAGAGCAAGGTTGTGTAATGTTGTTTTTTTACTATTGTGTTAATTTATGTTTTAGGAAAACGACTTGAGGACAGTGGTTACGGACGGTGGGCCAGTGGTGAGCCTAATGTGTTGGAGGAACAGTGCGGGGCTATTGCGAGAGACAATTCTGGTTTATACGACATATTGTGTCGTGAACAGGTGCCTTTTATCTGCGAGATCACAGACCCAAAAAGTGTTTTCCTTACTAATTGATTCAATGTATTTCTCACATCATTTATTAATGTAATGCACAAAGTTGTTAAATTTGAATTTTATTTTATTTTGTTTTATTGCAATGTGGACTATGAATAGTCCAGTTAATTATAAAAAAATACATTATCTTAAATGTTTAATAAAGTTTAACGTTTTCTAATAAATAAAATTCTCGTGTCACAGTTTTAGTTACCATACTTTTTTTTGAGTTTGATGAAATTTTATATGTAAATTCAGTAGGTCTGAGAATAGGTTGTTATCTTATTCTTATACCTCTAGTGATAGGGTGCTCCACCCCAAATTGACAAGACAAAATAAGGTTTGCTGGGTCAGCTAGTTTTTATTTAAATATTTACAAAATTAATCAATCACATATTAGACACTTGTTTGAATATAAATTTTTAAACAGGTTTTATAAAAATCCGATATTTATAATAAATATCAATATATCCAACATTTGATATATATCATGCATATGAAAGCCTGCGATTTTTGAGTTGCTAGTGGCTTTTTTTAAATACTTTTTAAATTTTTAAAATAAAGTGTGAGTTATTTAATTTTCTTTATTTATTATAAAATAATTAAAAAGTAAGTAAGTAGTATGCGAGCAAGGATTTCCAGTAACGTATAGGGGAAAACCCGAAATTTCTAGTAAGTAAGATTGCCATTTCGGGCCAATGTGGCCAGCATCACATCAGGTTGTTTAATTTTCTAGCTGAGATTCAATATTTAAACTAACAACAAATATTATAAATATCAATTGATATATATCAACGTATATGTATATCGATCGATATAGGTATATCAAGATATATATCCGTTGATATCTATCAGCTTACACTGATTTTAAAAGTGAAAGATTTCTTGGATGTTCATTGCTTCTTACAATTTATTATACAATTGCTTCCTTTCTTTAACATTAGATAGTTCACAGACGAATGGTAAGATACCGTCGCAGGACCAATCGTTTAAGCCGTTATTGTTCCTGTAGAGGGCGCCACACGACTCGCGATTAGCCACGTTGTTCGGTTCGTTCGGTGCCCAGTGGTCATAACCTGCTTCATGTAAACTCTGTCCTGAAAATGAGATTTGTTTTATATTATTATATTATTTGGCATTCAGAGCATACAACAAATACTGAATTGGTTAAATAAAATTGAAAAATATTATTAAATTATTAGATAGTTCCGTTCTGTTATGAAAACAGCCTCGAACTCGCGTCGAAAGCGGTGTTGCCTCTTACTTCAAACGGTAAAAAAGTTTTTATTTACCGCTCTAATTTATTGGGCTAACGTTTCTAAAGCAGGTACTAAATATGTGCTATAATATTATTACGAAGTTTCAATGCAATATTAGAAGCACATCTTTACTAACTCAAATAATATAAGTTCAAATAACTTCACGCTTTCAATAGGTAATCTAGACAGGGGATTCCTCAACGACGTCTTGTATCGTATCATTACGTTTCGCTTTCCTTTTTTACTTTTAACGTTGTCAGTGAACAGTGAGTACCTACTTGAGTACAATCTTACATAAATAGTGCATAAATAAATTAGAAAACTAATATTATGGACAAAAAAAATTTTAACGAAAAGAAAGAGAAGAAAGTAAACAAAAATTGTCCAAAATTTACAAGTTTTTTAGTCAGCCTTATGCAAGTACTTCTGGAGAAAATATTTCTATTGATAATTTTTGTAAATAGCTTGCATGGCGATAGGTTAAATAACAGTAAGCTGGTGTAACGTATCTATGAATAAATAAATATATAATAATCCCTTGAATCTTTTCTATTTAGTTTTATTGCCCAATACCTACCAAGTATTTGTGTTGTTAGTGTTTAATAGTTTTATTACCTGCCCATGCACGAAAAAGAGCTGTTGATAAAGTTGCTTAGCATTTTTAAAGTATTTGTATATTTAATGATTTTTCTTCAAAAACCTTACTAGCTTTGATAGCAGGAAGAGTTTGTTTGTTTGTTTGCTTGCTTGAACGCGCTAATCTCAGTAACTACTGGTCCGATTTGAAAAATTCTTTCAGTGTTAGATTGTGGTAACCCGACATGTGACTGTCTGTGTCACACACACACACACACACACACACATGCGTCAAACTTATAACACCCCGTCGTTTTTGCATCGGTGGTTAAAAACAATACAAAACCAACGATGACAAAAAAGCACAGGAACAAATATTAAATTGTGCTTGGGATTATTTAACAACGCAAAGTTCTCACCATCAACTGTGAACCAGTACGGCCGGATCTGCATCAGGAATCCGATGTGAATGAATCTTTCATCGCGGCAGTAGATCTTTGATTTGGAGTACCTGTTTCATTATTAATAAGATTAGTAGTTTCGGTCCCACCTAAACAAAAGCAAGGAAATAATGACTTTTTGTGTAATCATGACATGTGAACTTATTTTAATGTTAATGTGAGATTATTTTAATGTGTAATTTGAACTTAATTTGTCACCATACATTTCAATTTTAATTTTATTGTAATCTATTGACATTTAATTTAATAGTAGTTTATTAATGTATTTTTTTATATAAAGGAATTAAAGGCTATAATAATTATAATGACAAGTGAACTACTTCTCGCAGGTCTGCCTCGTTACTAGATTGACTTCGAATTGATTTTCAAATCCTCAACTTTTATTAAAATTGGAGTTACTGATTAAGCTGTGACTCATTTATATTAGTTCAACAACTAGATATCGATCAACAATCTAACGGAACAGCTCCACACGTAATGAGCTTTAAGTGCATTTAGTTCAATCCAAAGTCAATCGAATTACGTTGCATACCGGTCAGCAAGTAAGTATCGGTTTACGTAGCGCCAAACCAGACAATTCGTTTTTAACACGTATGTGAGTATCATCAAAATCCTTTCATAGAATCATAGGAGAGAAATTTAGGTGTTTCGCATATGCGGAAGTATTTTCTATAGACATAGACACACTCAAGGTAACGCTATTTAATTATACCATATCATATCTGAGGAATTGTCCTGAGATATCAGGTTTTTTGGTGTCTTCTCAGAATTGTGGGCGAATTTTGCAAATCTTAGGAAATCTCAGGATTTTAAATAAAATAAAGTATATTTCAAAGATCTCTTTAAAATGTTATACAAGTTTAAAATAATCTTCTTAACTTTGTTATATGCGAGATCCCCCAAGATTTACAGTGTGTAGGTAAAAACGATGATTATTTGACATTTTTAACGTTTGAGAAAAAAAATCTCGAATTGCGATGTAATCTTATGATTAATCAATGGATATCAGGCCTTTTCTCCTATATATAAGTACCTAGCTAAAAGTATTTTATTGTATCTACCTCTCATAAAGTACGTTCGCCTCAGTCTCATTGTTCACGATGACTAGGTGTCCACCCTCTGAGGAGCAGGCCATGTACGCGCGCCACCACGTCACACATTCAGGGTGGAATTTGTAGCAGCTGCCGGTGCGATGGTCAAATTTATACTCTGTGCAATAAACATTGGAAATTTATTTCTAGAATAAGACATAACACGGTTTTCTCAATAAATAAATAAAAGCTTAATTAGGAAACACCTAATTTTGTCTAAGCAGATTAGTTTAATTCCAAGTAAACATTATTTAATTTATCCCTTGGTACATTTGTGACCTATCATATATAGCTCAAGGTGCCGCATAACGCATGTCGTAGCTTTACACATTGCTAAATATCATTCCTAGTTAATGAAATGCATTAATTCCTAAATATTGAGGTGACAGATTTGGGTAACTTCTAAGTTAAGTAAATACGGGCATAAGTATACTCTCTTGAAATCTTAGACATATATCTTAGACACTATATCCTCCTATAAATTAAGTATTTTTTGATACAATAATGAACAACAAGGTACGATAACATTCACAATATATTGAAAAATAATATGCCCTCTATATGCCTTTGAAGGTCGTTCGTTGGGTCTCTGTATATTTCCGACATCAAATTCGGTACAATCTTTTAATAACTAATAATCTTTTAATATGATTTTTGATGAGAGGAGCTCGAGTGGTCAAATCGTTCAGTCAGCGATGCGAAGCAAGCAAATTTTGTAAGGGTCGATCATAGGATGGGTAACCAAAAATTTTATTACCACGAGTTCTTCCGTTCAGAAAATACTCTAAGCGTTGCCCCCGTTCTCAATTTTCCGTTCCATACCATCCTATTTACTAGAGGTATATGACAACTAGTAGGTAGTGCTTTGACAAAATTACTTGCAGTGAAGATAGTTCCTGAGCTAGTTCTGGCTTTGTCTAGTTGCGTCAAGCACATGCAATGCAGTGTTTCGGATGCAGATTCCGATAGTATGGTATAAATTAATTTTCTTCCTTACCTTTGTCAGAAGTGCCACACTCGGTGATGGTCTCATTGCCGAATCTTTCCTTATAGCACATGTATGTGCGCACCTCCTCGCATTTGACGTCAGCTATGGATCCATCCGGCAGTATGGCGAGGCACCGCTCGTTATCATCCAGATTGTCGGGCTCCCCCTTTGCCCATTGTATAGGCATATCTAAGAAGTTGATACCTGTCAAAAAATGGGTTCGTATAACTTTGCACTTATAAAAAGGCTTTATTTGCTATGTTTGGCTAATTATGTGTTATTTTTCGAAACGCTATAACCGTCTTCAAAATGAGTATTGTTATTCATTTTTACGACGAGTAGTTTGTTCCGAAAGATTATATAGTACTATATAATTCATAGGTTTAAACACTTTGATCCAAGATATAACTCCAATATAATTATATTTCGATATATTTGTTATGGTTTAAAAAATCGGTCTACAAATCGCAAAGATATTGCAAAAGTAACCGGCTGAAATTCTAGACGAGGGATAAAAAGTATAATGGTTTGCAATGCTTGTTCGAGCTGAAAACAAAAACTGAATGAAAAAATTATCTACGTTGACATACATAAACAAAACATATGTATTTGCATATTGTACCAGTCGACGATAGAACTTATTTTGAAGTTTAACTAAATTTCAAAGGTTGATATTAACGCTGTAATCTCTTGTGTATCGTTTGTACCTTCGATAGACTTGTAGTCGCCTGTGTGAGTGAGTGAGTTTACGCCTGTGAAGGAGGCATTATTGCGCGATAACATCAGACTCTTCATAGCCGAGTACAGCTGGTAGTTGATAGGTGACATCAGTACAGCGCCTGCACACAGACCCGTGGGCTAATTGTTGAAATATATTGCAGTCCCTCTCAAAGGTGTAGCGATTGTGATTGAAATTTATGGAAGTATATAACTTTTAAAGTCGCAATTGCTTTTGGAACGATTGTTGATTTGAATGGTCAAGAAATCTAATTAAAACTTACCTAAACCAATCGAAATTCAAATCTCATTAACTAGCTTTCTTACAATGCGTAGTAGTGCTTGTTAGGCACTCTAAAAACTTTGTATGCAAAAATGGAGATTGTTTGCTGCTCAGCATTTGAAATTTTACAAAATCTTTCGTGATTTTGGTTCTTCGATATGTGTAGTGCATTGTTAACATGCTGTGGTGTATATCTGATGAATACTTTTTAAAATTGTTTATGTACGAATCTATTTATCTAAAAACACAATGATTTCTATGATATAACTAAAAACATACGCCTAGTCTATAATTCTATCTATATACATCCTATATTATGTTTAAACTGTCTTCGAACAAATTGCACACATTATATATGAATGTTCTATCTCACAATTACGATATTATAATCCTAACCGAGACTTGGTTGATTTAGAACATATCTGATAGTGAAATGTTTAATACACGGTACAGAGTATTCCGTTCGGACAGAGATCGCATAGCCAGCGGCCGGTATGACGGCAAGGGGCGTTTAGATAGCTGTGCGCCGTGAGCCATCCGTATTTCAGGCTCCCGATGTAAAATATTTTATTATGGTCGTTGATTTTAATCTACCAACCCTAGAATGGTGTAATCGTGGATCTCATTTAGAGCCGATTATGACAAACACCGGTTGCTTATCTTATAAATTTTTAATAAATTTATTGGTCAAACTAGCTATTAACATACCACAACAGCATGGTTTTGTTAAACAGCGATCTACAGCTACCGATTTGTTAGAGTACACATCACGTCTGTTTGAAAGTATAGATGCTAATAAACAGATTTATGCTATATATACCTACAGATGTCCAAAAAACCATTGACAGGGTTGACCATCGGTTATTACTTGAAAAACTAGCATTCAATGGCACACGCGGAACGCTCTGGCGGTGGTTTAAGTCATACATAACAAATCGTACTCAAAAGGTTGTTATTAATGGACATTAATCAAACTTCGTCCCAATAAATTCGGGAGTCCCTCAAGGTTCAATATTAGATCTTTTGTTATTTGTACTGTTTATTAATGATGTTCGGAATTGCTTCAAATATTGTAGTTTCCTCATGTACGCCGATGATAAAAATTTATCACACCATAGAGAGTAGTAGTGATCAAGACAAGTTTCAGTCCGATCTCAATAGATTCTCTAAATATTGTCACGAAAATAAACACAAACTAAATACTAATAAATGTAAAGCCATTACCTTCACAAAAAAGAAAAAAATATATAACATCGACTACCATTTTAATGCTAAAATACTCTAAAAAGTTGAGGTTATTAGAGATCGGGGAATCATATTAGATAATAAGTTGCATCTTGATCAACATACAAATGATATTATTAGCAGATCTTTCAAGATGTACGGTTTTGTGATGCGCATTAGTACCTCATTTAAGCAAACCTCTACTTACCTTGCACTTTATAGTTAGATCACAGCTAAAATATGCGGTACCCTCTGGAATCCTTTTTATAATAAATACATAGAAACACTTGAAAATGTCCAAAAAAAGTTATTTGTCCTACGAGCAGCTATCTAAAAAGTATAATATAATAGATCTAAGTCAAAGACGTACTTTACTTGAAATAAATATGCTTTACGTTCTATGTCATAACAAATATGACTGTATTTCTTTAATAAATAAACTAAGTAACAGAACCAACCAACCAGAACTCGTTGTAGAAATCAACGTAAATTATTTGCAACTGCCCGATGCCGAATAAATGCCGGCAAGCGCTCGCCACTTTACCGTATGGTTAATGCATTTAACATATCTTTTAATTCGATAGATATTATGGCGGTGACTCATGGTATATTTAAAAAAAATGTTACTTGAAATACTCCCTTAAACACATAAGTAATCTATATTGTAATTAAGTAATCGTTTGGAATTTTAAAACTGTAGTCGTGTAAGAGATGTAAAAATCAATCCAAAAACCGAGTAATGAAAATATGTTAATGTGAGAAACGGTGTAGGCGGCGATTTTAAAATTGATTATATATTTTTACTTTTAACTATTACAAATTGTCACTGTTTGTTAACCCTAATAAATGGAAAAAAAAAACTACTTGGTATATGAAAAAATTGCTAGATGTTTGAAAAATCTTTTACTTTGGAAAAGTTTAGAAAATATGTAACTTTAGCACCTAGTTTCACAAATGTCCTACAAAATTGTTATTAGTTTATACCTTAATGTACGTTTGTGCAACTGGGTGTAAGTGACACAATAACTGTTACTTAGGATGATGTCTTATTTATTATATATATGATTAGACTCTATGATAAAACATCAAATGTGTCACGGGCACTTTCGAAAAATATAATTACCTTCATAGTAGCACTTTAGTCTTGCCTCGAACCAGGTAGCCGGCACTCCGTGGAATTTGATCCATCCATTGGCTTCAGGACTGTACGTGTAGTCGAGACGGAATTCACCCTCCCCTATTCACATTTCCACCAAATAATGTAATACATAGAAACAAAATTCCATCTGTTGGCGAGCGGATTAGGTAAATATTAGTGAAGTTTTTCTAATATTTACCTAATTTGAAGTTTGGGAAATTAATAGTTTCATTGAAATTTGTATAAGACAATTGTTGTCGGCTAATATTAGGTAATTTATGTATGTTTATATCTACATAAGGCCACGTAGGACCGAGCCAATTATATTTATATAATATAATAAAACAAATATTACTGTTTTAATAACGTGTAAATATAAAATGTAGTTTTCTTCAAAGATAATAATATTTATGAAATAGTTCGGATAAAAGAAGAATGGCGAAATCAGACCCCATAATTTACAAAACCGTACATGGATGGTAATATGACAAATAAATAATATATGATTAATAGATTTAATTTCTACAAAATGGTGAATATTAATGTCGGGGAACCAAACTAAAATATTAAATGCTGCTAATAATTATTAAGATAACAAAACGTCTGATGATAGTGCAAAAACAAAACGCGAAAATTTTTTTAAGAAACGTTCTGGTCTACGCAGAAATACTGCGTAGAAATACTACTTTAATAATTGAAAGCTAAGATACCACAACCGATTTAAGAAGATTATTGCCAGTTCTGCAGTTGATCCGCTGAAAGGTTAACGTATTGATTATTTTGTTCTAAATAATCGATTGGTTGATTTTATTTTGACAGGCTTGTTGTATGATTATGATGGTGGAATGATAGTGGATGATTGGTTTGGTTTGTTTGTTGTGTGTTCCTTCGTGGAGTTTGATATTTATGTTAATATTCAACTTGACAATGAAGCGTGTTTCTTCGACTAACGTTGATATTTGCATTACTTTTGGATTCCGAATGGCAATCGATTCGGTTATAACAATGACAGTTAAATGCAGTGTTACCAACTCCCAACAAAATAAAACCCCAAAACCAAACTCAAATAACCCTAAATAGCCCTGAATGGTGTAATCAAAAGCCCCAAAAAAAGCATTGTCCTACTTGTATTACCCACAGATTTAATGGTATAGTTTAAAAAATCTGTTTTATTAAGGTGATTAAAATAGACCTCAGTTTTATTTTCTAATATTTTTTTAGTATTAATTACTTGAATCGCATTCAATTAATTTTGTTAATCAAAAAAGGTGACTATTTGTTTTTTTTTAGATGAATAAAAACGCACTCTAATACACGAAATTCTCTTGTCTTTTCTACTAGTTCACTAAGAAGAGAAGGGCCCAGCACATTTTGTATAATCATAGAACATTTTGTGCGAAATAGACTTAAATACTTTAAAGCATCCGATGACGAATCTATTTGATGAACGAAGCCAGAAAGCATACTATGTTTTATGACTAAAACCAATCCAAAAAAAGTTATTACTTTTTTCGGATTAGTTTTGACACGAAAATAAAACTACAGAAAATCAAATAGATTAAAAAATGTCATATTGAAGCCATAGCAATATACTATATAGGTAGCCTACAGACATACACACACGTCCAGCTAAACATTTGCTTCTATATAATGAACAATTGGTACCTGTTTATCAAATAATTTAACGTTTCATCCATTGTCGGATTCGAAGAGAAAATAAAGTTCTTTTATATGTCGTAAACAATGATGGTTAATTTATTTTAAACCAAATAAAAAGATTTAATGGGTAATTCAGACATTACCTGATTTTTTTATTATTAATTAATTTATTTTTTTTAGCACTAAAATTAGCCCTAAATTTTCTTGAGCCCCAAAAAAAGCCCAATCAGTTTATTTCCGCCCCAAATTTGGGGCTAAAAGCCCTAAGTTGGTAAGCCTGGTTAAATGTATACATTGCACTTATTTGTCACTTTCAGTTGTAATGATTTAATTAAAGGCAAAGGGATCTACTCCACACAGTTTAGTCATATGTTATAAATGTTTCTTCTATTATAAGTGTCTTGATCTTATTAGATATGTAATTATTTTAATCTAGTTTATTAAACGGAGCAATCTGGTTACCATTTTTATTTATTTTAACGTCCATTCAACGAAAAAGCAAAGATACAATATATAACCCCACAAAGTATTTTATGCCATATCTTTTTAATCCCAACTTTCAAAGGAAAAAGACGATTAGTATTTTGTTAGTTTAGCTTATACCTTCAAGTACACGTTTATTTCATTCATGAACGGGACTTTAAAAATTCAGGTCCAAAGCTATATGGGAGTTCGCCATTGTTCTTTCTCTTTTTTCAAAATTGTTATTTTTCAGATTTAAATTTTTATTTTAATTTAAATTAAATGTTCACTGGTACCTGCTAATCCTTTTTTCACTATAATAGTTAATACACACAAAACAATTACTTCAATGTAACCACGATTCGCCATTGTATCACCAAAGGAAATATCTGTACAATAAAGCGTGTCTTTTTTGTTCATCCTATTTATAGATACGAAAGCGGTTATCTCTTTAAAACGATTACCACTTAAAATTGGGCTGATTTTGATTGCACTGTGTCCATTACACGCGTACGTGACGGATTAATAGACTAAAATCACACTCTAATATAAGAGTTCTCTTTGCATTTTCTTTATAACTAGATGTGCCCGCGACTTTATTCGCGTGGAAAGTAGCCTTAGTTACTCCTTATTACATATGCCATCTACCAGCAAAGTCTTGTCAATATCAGTCCAGCCGATTCAGAGATTATCCGAAACAAACAGACAGACAAAAAATGCAAAAATGATATTTTTCTTTAAGTACCGTCTATACATACATATGCATTTAGTAAAAAGTGCTTAATTTAATATTACAAACAGACACTCCAATATTATTTATGTGTATATAGGTAGATGAAAGAGTTTACGATTGGCGATGATGAAATTAATCTACTGCTACTGTTAAATTTCAGAGTAACTTTACTGGAAACAAAGGTAAACTTGTTGTGCCGACATGCAGGCTAAAGAAGGTTCTATCGTCATTTATGGGTCAAGGTTTACACTATAACAAAATTCCTATGGAAATTTTAAGTTGAAAACCCATATTAAGAACTGTCTACTCAGTAATGAATATTATACTGTAAATGAATATTTAAACGAAAAAAATGTTTAGTTTTTAAACTCACACGATTTGTATACATTATAATTATATGTAACCGGGTCTTGTTCGTGCATTATTTTAAAACTATTTATTTACTTCGACATTTCGGCTACGTTGCATCAGCCGTGGTCACGAGGAGACTGGAGAAACTGGCGGGTGTCGTCTTCTGCTTTAGGTTGAGGCGTGAGGGTAATCCGGTAATAATGTTTTTAACAGATTTTCCGATGTATCCTCCACTTGATTTTATTGTACGTAAAGGTGGTGACTATGGCTGCTGCAAAGTAGCCGAAACGTCGAGGTAAATAAATAGTTTCATAATAATGCACGAACAAGACTCCGTTGAATATAATTATAAAACTGCTTGGTGTTAAATATGGCTCATTTTTCATGTATGGCGAAAATACTGTTTTACTTTCTAATATTGTAATGCAAAGTGATTTCATATTTTAATGTAGTCACTTTTCAGTCTTGACGCTCTGTATGAGATAAAACTGGGTGAAAAACGCAGCCCTTGCCGAGTTTTTTGCCGGTTCTTCTCGGTACAAGGTCTCCCGCTGTCGATTTACGAACCGATGGCGTAGCTCTCGAATTTCACAAGTGCTTGTAACAGCCTAGACTGAATAAATAATTTTGTTTTTAATTGAATCGTATCTGTGAACGACTACGGTGTAAGAATCCTCACCAAGCCTCGGTGCGGAACAGGTGGAGAGCTGTGGTGCTGCGCGCTACCACAGTTCATGCCTGAACACGACTGTCCTAACAAGAGCATACGACGATGAAAAAGAAGCTTTATGCCACTTTATTTGGTTTAAATACAGCACGTGTATCATGACAAACTCGAGAAACGCTTTGTCTTCACCCAAATGTCACTTTCTCGGGTCGAGAGTGAGATAGGGTAGGGTGTAATTTGTTGTCATTTTTAAATACCATTAAATACGAATTATTTCCGATCTGACACATTATAATATTTGTTAATAAATAAAGAAAAGACAACATAACGGAAAATGAAATGGACGAAATAGATGCTTGTTATAGTGTTGTGGAAACATTCACCCGTAATGTTTGGGTATCTGACAGTTCCCCAATATTAACAATTAAATGAGGGTTCAGATGTTCGAGGGTGATTCCTGAGAGGCTTAATTTTGGATGTCAGGAAGGATATCTCGTATATTTAACTACGTTCATTTGTCAGGTATTTTTTCAAATAAAGTTTGAACTATAATCTTGTTGTAAAACTATTAATTATAAAGAAGAAGACTTAATTTAATATTTTCTTTATTTTTCAAATGACTGAAAATTGACTTTCATTTCAAAAGATAAGTACTAAGTCAAATAAAAACCACCTCGGCTCTGTCATGGAAGGCAACAACAAATAATCAACCTAAAATACATATATTTATTACTTGAATTCATATTTTTTATATCACAATGTCCTGAAGTAAGCAAAGTTAAGAGGAGATTTTGAAAAAGCGAGAAGCAGAACGTCGTCCATACGAACTAATAAAAAATGATACTCAGGGTAAGGCCAAGCTAAAGGTAAAATATTGTTATCGCAAGCAGAAACAAGCTCTTGGGAAACTACGAACAACACAGATCAACAAGGCATTGTTTATTCGTCTCCACCACCTTCCTACCAATAATCAGCTTCTCCTATTTCTCAAACCATATCTGATTCGTTAAATTTGTCCACACCTCGAAGGTCACTCCATTCGGCCAAACACAACCCCTACTACAAAGCAGTCCATAAAAAGAAATCCCCTTGGAAACATTTGTTGAGAAAATTTTGATAAAGAACAAATTAATAATTTCTGACTTAGATTGTTGAATTTAAATTTAAAAACAGAGATTTTCAATGAAATTTGTTTCATTTCTTGATTTTCCTGTGCGTCATTATTGATTTTCCAGGCCACGAAATTTCAAAATCATATGTCTTGGAAACCATTGAACAGAAACGGGTGCCTATCAAAATATATTACAACTAAGGCTCTTAATTTTAACCCCGACCCAAAATATATTCATTATTTTGAGATAACAACAGGAAAAAGAACAGGAAAATCAATTCAAAAACATTATACTCAGGAATCTGAAAAAAAAATTGCTCCATGTGATAAACTCTGCGACATCACCGACCTATAATCTTTTGTTTTTGTATTTCATGTAAACAAAGCGAAGACATACTGAAGTTTAAAAACACTCCAAAAATAACTTTACTGACCATGGATGGGTTTCAATAGTTTCCGTTTTGATTATAATAATTATAATCAAAGATATTTACAGGACAAATGATTTTATATTTTGAGAGTATTTGCCTTTATTTATTTAAATTCACCTACAGTTACCGCTATATTTGAACATACCGTAAATCATAATTTTACATATTATTTTCTTTTTATACAATGAAATGTTTATCTAGAATCAATAATACACTTAAATATCAATGTACATATAGGAATATTTTTTCTTTTCGGTAAACATTTTGTACCATTGATTTTTTAATTATGTTTGTACAAAGTAAATTACAGTATGGATATACATACATACGTACTCTTTGCTCACCAACAATTTTTTTTTGTAACCATAGAAACCGCTTCTCGTTGCCATGGCAACGTTTATTTCAGTTGTCAATAGCGTTCCAACAAGTGCACATAAAGAATAATAGTATTTTTATAAAATTATGTATGACAAAATAAGGGTATAAATAATTAATTAATGTTAAAGTTTATGAAATAGATATAAATACAAGTTTTTGAAGAAATAAGAAGTATGTATGTTGCACGTAAAAATATATATTAATGTTACTTGATTCCTTTGAAAGTCCTGATTACAGAGTTTGTACTATGATTTCTGAATTTTTACACTTTTCAGGATTGCAGACGGTTTTTGAAAATCGCTAGGAATGATCAATAGAATAAAAAAACTTCAATATTATTTTAACCTGTGTCTGTTTAACATTGTAATCTTTAAGAAGAAACTAGTTAAAATAATTAATTAGCTTTAATCTTTTTAATGCACAAAATTGAGAAAAGAAATACTATTTAATCAGTTTTATCATATTTAGAGGTACTCATGTTTGAGTAATCTTTTTGCTTTCATTCCAAACTCCGATAAAATCTCAGGAGTTTTCACTGGAAATCACTCTCGGTTTCTTCAGATATATATTTGTTCCAAAGATTTAGCACACCGATGTATTTTTGTATTTAACCATTTTACGGTATTCGATTCCTTTTCCTGTTAGAAATCTATATTATCATTAAAGTTTGAGAATAAAAAAAAAACTTGCATTTACTATACTAATAGTGTAAGAAACATGTAATAACTGTGCTGAATAAATACTATAATTATTATGAATATATACCTTTTTAAGTGCATACAAAAACTAAGTTGAAGGTTTACGCAGACCAATAAAACTATTTTTACATTTAATCTGATTTTTAAACCCGAAAATTTCGCCAAAGAACTATTGGTGGCATAGATGGCAAGCAGTAGAGGGGCGCGGAAACGTACCCGAGGCGGTGCGAGCGGTGCGAGCGTTACAAGCGAAGCGAGCGATGCGAAGCGATGCCCTCCTCGGTTCACAGGAGGTGCTCGCTCGCAGCCTACTCTCGCCAGCATCACTCGTGCGGGATATGATGATGAACTAGAAAAAGATAGCGTGCTGCTGCAGGCTGCCAAGAACTACTACCCTGAAGGTAGTAATACCATATTTATTAATAATAAAGTCCATCTGATTCCTTACTACTTATATTAAAATTATAATAAAATTTATCGGACTATTCTAATGTTACAAAAAAATACAATCAATGTAATAAATTTTAACAAATCGATTTTTGTACTGCCTACCTCATTTTATCAATAGTATGTCGCAGAGTTAATTTTAATTTAAAGGAAATTAGCGATGTTTCTGTAGTTTACTTGGTGCGATAATGTTACTTTTGTAGTACGCATAGTTTCCGTATGATTCATCTCATCTATATCTTCTAAAGTCATTGTTTTGTGAGGTGTCAGAGTTTAAAACTCTTCTCCTGAAAAACTAAATTTTTGCATAAGTGACAGTGTCGCACCGAGAGTGCGATGTGGTATTATTTTCTTTCTTTAATTATCATCGTATCAAACCCACATCTAAATATTTAGGATGTATTTGCCGTTTTCTATATTAATTACGCGTCTAGGCTTACTCTCTTTCTGGGTAAGCGAAAATTTGTCTACTTTCGAAACGCTATGACTCTAAAGATATCCATTTTTATATAATTTATGACGCAACGGAGGTAGGAGCCGTCGCAGGCTCCGATGTACAAATAATCTTCACGAGAATGGTTTTGACTAAATTATAAGAACGATTGGAAATTTTCCGAATTCTCGTTGAACCTTAATATTTAAAGATACAATCCCATCACAGGTGAAGGTGACGGAGGCTGCAGTGAGTTTCCACCGCTGATGCAGGCGAAGTCTTGGACGCGCGGTGTCCCTTACCGCGACAGCTTTGATCATGCTAAACCTGTAGACTCCATAGGTAAATAATTTTCCTTCATAAAGCACCATCATTATATTTCATAAAACGTGATAGTTAGACAGTGAAATTGTTACAGATAATATGTTAAAAAAAAAAACAGAACAGAATAAAATAAATATTTAAGGCTACACTTCACCGATTTATAAGTATTGTAACTGTTTGATAAGATTGTAATTGTTAGGTAATTGCTATACCCCTGCCACAAAATCAATGCGTTTGATCAACATGCCACCGAAGAGACGTCCTCCACCCAAGCTTTACGGGCCTCTGGGGGATAACGGAGAGTTGCAGTTCCCGCCTCCCAAGTCTTGGCAGGAGAGGGAGAGAGAGAGGTTAGAGAGCGAGCGGTTAGAAAAAGAGAAGCACAAGCTTCAAAAAGGTAATGCTCGTTCATAGATTTATTGTTTATCATTAACGTCTTTATTTGGTTTGTCTTCTTTCCTGTATCGTTCTTCTCCTTCTTCTTCTAGAATAATGACAAGCGTAAAGGAGAATGTGCAATGATGTATGGAGTTTCGTTTCAAATTTTTTTTTTGTGCCATGATGAAACCTTAAAACCATCAAAACCCTACAAACCATCATTTTGTAGGGTTTTGGCCTTAGATTCAATGACAAAAAAAATAATTTCTCTAATTCGACGGATTCATGCGAAATAAGCTGCTGAAGTTCATCAAGTAATAGGTAATGTTATTGAAACCGGTTAGTATGTTTTGACTTTGTCTTCTAGTCTTTCAGTGCAATTACTGGGTATCATATTTATATATATAGTGATTCTGCTGTTTTCCAAGCAAACGAGAAATGTTTTGGACATGTTTGACATAAGGGAGTTATTCATTTTCGTATGTGTATTCATCAAAAATGTCGTCTAGGAATTGAGCTGGGGCAGTTAAATCATTATATCTACCCCAACCTAAATACCAAAGCACTGACATGACATTACTCGACGTAAAACTTAAAGAAAGAAAAAATCACTAAAGCATTCAACAAACGAACTTAACAGAACGAAAGGAAATACTGTAGTGACAGCTGTCAATTGTGTCAATGTATGCCTTTCATTTAGCGGGTCATGCATGTCATTATTACTATTCTAAAAATGTTATAAATCGACTATTTTTAATCGACTTGATTCGATTAAATCATTAAAACTAATTATTTATTTATGTTCTTAATAATGAACAATGTAAATATTTTTACTCAACAATATACTATTAACTGACATAGAGCATAGGTTATTAATTACTAATGAACATGTTGGGGGATTTAAAACAGTTTTTATATTAATATGTTTTGTTTTGGCAGCACTGAAACTCAATGAATCGATTCCGCTCATAAGGTTTCATCCTGTTGTTTCATCCAGAAATTCTGTCGTCTCTCATTTTCGCTTCGCAGGTATTTTAAAGCAGTTCCTCCATTTCATCTGCTAGCATATAACAAAAAGCGTTATTCAAAATGTAAACTAAATATAAAAAATTCCACATGTGGATTCCACATGTCGATTGGAACGAAGTTCACACGCATTCAAAATTATTTAAACGAGACTTGTATATGTAGCATTAGTATTATTGTATGAAAGTAGAGCATAATGTCTGTATAACATCGATACTTACCTAACTTCATCAGCAATATCTTAACGTTCTGATAGACACCCACATTATTTATTATGCGTATACCCACAACAGAACCGAACTGAATGCTATGCTATCCTATGCTAGCCTAAGCTTGCCTATGCTAGCCTATGCTTGCCAATGCTAGCCTGTGCTTGCCTGTGCTCGCATGTGCTAGCCTGTGCTTGTCAGTGCTAGCCTGTGCTCGCCTGTGCTCGCATGTGCTAGCCTGTGCTCGCATGTGCTAGCCTGTGCTCGCCTGTGTCTGCCTGTGCTCGCCTGTGCTAGGCTGTGCTGGCCTGTGCTATCCTATCCTATCCTATGCTATCCTATCCTATCCTATACTCGGCCTGCCCCCTCTCCAAGCGCTACGCACTATAGCAAAAGTGTCGTGAGGATTATTCGTGACGCTCGCCTAGCCCCCTTAGCCAGCGTACCGCGCGATAAGGAACTTCGTTACAAAAACCTTGCGAGAAACTATTGTCTAAAAATCGTGTCATATGACTAGGTCAAAAACAATTTATTATTATTTTGTCTTTTTAAACGTTTTTTCGTCTTTCATGTTTCAGGGCTCTTGCCTATTCAAATACAATATCGATTTACATAATTTATGTAGATTTTGAATACTGGCAACATTAAAAAAAACATAAAAATGGTGGATATTTTAGAGAAGTAGTAAAATCAGTTACCTTCCTTTATTTTAAACATATTATACTCCGTCAAAGTTAGGGCTACATATTTTAAGGTATTTAGGTAAAATTAAAAACTTATTTTTTAAAAGAGGTTTGATATCGTCACAAAGCGAAACCACATTTGCCCATTCTCCTTTGCATTTTCTTTAATACTACAAGTACATACCATTGATACCATTTTGTGATGAGTTAAAAATGGTAAGTATTTTTTAGGTTTGGTCTACTTAGAAGATTTAGTATCCGGCGCATATGATAGAAAGAAAAAAGCTGAAGCAGAAGCGAAACGGAAGAGGATAGAGAAAAGAAGAAAAGAGAAGGAAGCTGCTGAGATTGCAGCAAAAGAAGCTCTCAAAAAGTAAAGAGTAAACCGGATATAACTTAATTGTTTTTCTTTAAGTAAAATCAAGTGTACAAGTGGTCACAGTAGCGTCTTATGAATTTGTTTTTTTCTTAGTTAGAGCCAAAGAGGGATACATGTGTCTGTGCTATGTACTGGTGTAAGAATAATATTTATCTATTATTATGTTTCATTATTGAATGCTACATTGGAAACATTTTGCATTCTCACTCCACATTTCACTGTTATGGCAACGCTAGCGGCCAAACGAGAAGGGTACAGCTGAAAATCGGTGTATGTGTCCTGTATGGAACATTCACTGAGCTGTATACATCTTGGGCTACTGCTTCACACTTCGATGCCGTTGCGCAAATCTATTGTTTTTAATTTCTCTACACATCAATTGAGCATTTTAAAATAACTTGTAATGTAGTATGTTTATTTATATTTTACAATTGTGTTTACAATTGAAGTATAATAGTTTTAAAAGTCATGAAATAATGCTCAATGAAGTGTTATTTTTCTTTATTGCAAACAAATTGTTAAATTCGAAGTGTCGATTAATCTATTAAGATTATCGACAGTTATGAATGTGATTATTTCAACTGGTACTCGATTATTGGTATTCATGAAATCAGAAATGGCTCTTTGAATAGGAGGCAATTTGGCGTCTCCTATCAACGATCGACTGTACGCTGTGATTAAAAGTCTGATGTTAGTGCAGTCTGGGCCAGTGTTCACGGGCGTGCACATGATGGACTCCGCCGGAGACTACTATTCCATGGAAGGTAAGTATGGTTATGCTATTTTATATTGAATCAAACATTTATCATTCTAAATCTTAAGCATGAGTGTTAGTGTTACCATTACCAATTCAGTGACTGATTGAATTTGGCTCACTTTCTAAGTGTACAGCGTTCATGTATTGATGATTTTTCTAATGACCTTCGTACCTTTAACTACCTACGACTCTTGCCAGTTTTTCAGTACAATGTCTTCCGCCGTAATTTCCGACATTCACAAGCGCTAACAGATTAGACTGAACAAATGATGTTGAATATAAATCTATGGCGGAAGCTTATGATGGTGATTACAATAATCATTTATCCAAAATTATTCAAGTATATTTAAAGATTCATAATCATTAATCGGTGAAAAATACTTTGTTTATTTATTACAGGAGTACCTTTGTTGCATATGCCTATCCAGTGGGCAAAGGGGGAGCCTAATAACTTGAAACATAAGGAGCGCAGTCTGGCTATTCTACCAGACGGCACCTTCGCCGACGTTCATGATAATGATATACTTCCATATATATGTTACAAGCTAAAGGATGGCAATGAAAATGTTTCTAGCGAATGTGGAACTTACGCTAAAGGTAAATGGCTGATAAGTGGGAGTATTATTCTGTATTGTAAAAGTTTCTAACTTTGATTGTTGGGAGGGATCTTTGAAAATCCTGTTCGATAATGACAATTCTTTCACCTACGGGAAGCTACATGTTACGTGGGTGAAATTGAGAGACAGCTACAAACAAATATAACTCTATAGTGATCAGAATTTTGAGATCTAAAATGTCATAGGTATTTCTGTTTTATTACCATCATCAGGATATGAGCTGGATCTCGAGTCGGGCAGCTGCTACAAGTACCATGGAGACTGCGTGATGTGGCAACGAGCTCATATGATCTGCTCTGCTGAAGGTGGTCACGTACTAATACTGAACAGCGAGCGCGAGGCGAAACTCATATTTGACAGGTGTGTATCAATTTTTTTTTTGCTCAGAATCTTAACTTTGTATAATTTATGATCTCATGTAAAAGGCTCCCAATTGGAGGGGCCCCCCAAACAGGCGGGGCCCGTAGCATTAGCTACTTTTGCTACGTGGCTAATCCGGCCCTGCACGTTGGGATTTATAAGAACTTACACTAGCAGCTCATGGACTTACTGTTTTTTTCTCAAGTCAAATACATAGTTTCAGCGCTCCGTGTTTGCATAGATTATACGCTTACTAGTAGCGAAAAGTAATAAGTGCTTGAATAATTCGTCAGTCCAGTTAGGTCCTTGGTAGCTTAGCGGTTAGAGCAGTCGCCCAGATTGCGAAAGGTCGAGGGTTCGAGGCCCATCTCAGAGTGCCGGGGGCTGATGGATTTTTTCAAGCGTTTTCATTAAGAATATAAATAATGATGTTATTATTAGGTACTCAAAGAAGCCTATAAACTGTAATCCAAACACTGTACGTCACGCTGCAGCGTTCTTACACATCGGTTTTACCAATCTTGGAGTGGACCGCGCCTTCTGGTTCACCCTTGACGGTACGTTTTTCTACATGATAATAACTCCTTAGCCTCCAATATCGGCAATGCTATTCCGTTAAAAAATACCCTCGAACTCGTCGTAAATCGAAATAAAAATATAACCTTTTGATGTAGATTTCATTTGAGTTTAGAATTTCATTGGGCCGATACTGATATAATAACCAGATTGGGACTTAAAGGTGGTTTTGAACTTTGTAATAAATTAATGTAATCTTGTCAAGTTTTGGCTCGTTTATTTGTCTATTCGAGATCCAGTCCAGTAAAAGAAAATTTTCTTTCTAGCTTTCTTAATACTTGTGATTTTGGTTTGGCAGCTAAGTTTTAATTTGAGACACACAGAATTTTATATTTATTTTGTAGCAATTTACCAAGCATATATGTACAGTAGTTAAATAAGACACCAATGAGCTTGTCTCCGAGTGTTATTTAAATTTTGCTGTCTCAGATTTTTTAAAATAAATAAAGCAATTCTACTAATATGTATTAGCGTAATTACGGAAACTCAATAGCGCTTTAACTAGAACTCTTTATGACACAGTTCTTTTTGGTAGATCACAAACTAATAAATGATATATTTCAATAAGACATTGCACCTATAACAATGTTGGACTTCGGGTAGGTAGTACAATGGCAAAATGAAAATAGTTGGGACTCTATTAAGATGCGTTTATCCTGTAAAAATTAACAGAATTGAGGCTGCATAGTTCATGCGTTTATCCTGTAAAAATTAACAGAATAAGCGCAGCGTCCCGCGATCCTTGCTGTTAAGCAACTTTCGCAAAAAACGGGATGGTCGATCAAAAAATATTATACATGTGAATGCATGTGAAGCCGTTGTGAAGCTGTTGGTGCTGCATGTTCAGTCGATAATAGAAGGGTCATGGCCCATCCTCCTTGAACAATCACAAGGAAGTCCTTCCTACCTGGGTCCTATTCACCCTGCAGTGGAAACGTAAAAGGGCTGATGATTAATTCATGATGTTTTCAGAGCAAGGTTGTGTAATGTTGTTTTTTTACTATTGTGTTAATTTATGTTTTAGGAAAACGACTTGAGGACAGTGGTTACGGACGGTGGGCCAGTGGTGAGCCTAATGTGTTGGAGGAACAGTGCGGGGCTATTGCGAGAGACAATTCTGGTTTATACGACATATTGTGTCGTGAACAGGTGCCTTTTATCTGCGAGATCACAGACCCAAAAAGTGTTTTCCTTACTAATTGATTCAATGTTTTTCTCACATCATTAATGTAATGCACAAATTAATGTTTTATCATTTATTAATGTTTTATTACAATGTGGAATATGAATAGTACAGTTAATTATAAAAAAAATACATTATCTAAAATCTAAATATATATAATTCAAAGGTGACTCACTGACATAGTGATCTATCAACGCACAGCCCAAACCACTGGACGGATCGGGCTGAAATTTGGCATGCAGGTAGACGTTATAACGTAGCCATCCGTAGCTAAGAAAGGATTTTGATCTTCCCCCAAATTTCCCCCAAAGGGATAATAAGGGGATAAATAGGGGATGAAAGTTTGTATGAAACTCTGTCAATTTTAAACCGATCGGGCTGAGAACGTGCATGTATAAAGTTACTATAACGTAGGCATCCTCTAAGAAAGGATTTTGATAAATTTCAGAAAATAGGGGATGAAACTTTATTTCAGGTATTTTACATGATATAATGAATAAATATTCGTTAGAAATGCTTCTTAAAGTAACTACCACGCGGACGAAGTCGCGGGCAAAAGCTAGTGTTCAATAAAGTTTAACGTTTTCTAATAAATAAAATTCTCGTGTCACAGTTTTAGTTAGCATACTTTTTTTGAGTTTGATGAAATTTTATATGTAAATTCAGTAGGTCTGAGAATAGGTTGTTTTCATAGGGTTATATAATAGGGGTGCTCCACCCCAAATTGACAAGACAAAATAAGGTTTGCTGGGTCAGCTAGTTTTTATTTAAATATTTACAAAATGAATCGATCACATATTAGACACTTGTTTGAATATAAATTTTTAAACAGGTTTTTCAAAAATCCGATATTTATAATAAATATCAATATATCCAACATTTGATATATATCATGCATATGAAAGCCTGCGACTTTTGAGTTGCTAGTGGCTTTTGTAAATAGTTTTTAATTTTTAAAATAAAGTGTGAGTTATTTAATTTTCTTTATTTATTATAAAATAATTAAAAAGTAAGTAAGTAGTATGCGAGCAAGGATTTCCAGTAACGTATAGGGGAAAACCCGAAATTTCTAGTAAGTAAGATTGCTATTTCGGGCCAATGTGGCCAGCATCACATCAGGTTGTTTAATTTTCTACCTGAGATTCAATACTTAAACTAACAACAAATATTATAATTATCAATTGATATATACCAACGTATATGTATATCGATCGATATAGGTATATCAAGATATATATCCGTTGATATTTGTCAGCTAACACTGATTTTAAAGTTGAAAGATTTCTTGGATGTTGATTGCTTTTTCCAATTGCTTCTTTTCTTTAACATTAGATAGTTCACAGACGAACGGTAAGATATCGTCGCAGGGCCAATCGTTTAAGCCGTTATTGTTCATGTCGAGGGCGCCACACATCTCGCGATTAGCCACGTTGTTTGGTTCGTTCGGTTCGTTCGGTGCCCAGTGGTCATAACCTGCTTCATGTAAACTCTGTCCTGAAAATGAGATTTGTTTTATATTATTATATTATTTGGCATTCAGAGCATAGAACAAATACTGAATTGGTTAAATAAAATTGAAAAATATTATTAAATTATTAGATAGTTCCGTTCTGTTATGAAAACAGCCTCGAACTCGCGTCGAAAGCGGTGATGTCGCTTACTTCATAAGGTAAAAAAGTTTTTATTTACCGCTCTAATTTATTGCTAACGTTTCTAAAGCAGTACTGAATATGTGCTATAATATTATTACGAAGTTTCAATGCAATATTAGAAGCACAGCTTTACTAACTCAAATAATATAAGTTCAAATAACTTCACGCTTTCAATAGGTAATCTATACTAATATTATAAAGCTGAAGAGTTTGTTTGTTTATTTGCTTGCTTGAACGCGCTAATCTCAGTAACTACTGGTCCAATTTGAAAAATTCATTCAATGTTAGATTGTGGTAACCCGACATGTGACTGTCTGTACCTATTATATAACTTCGCACTTTTATGATATGACACTACACACACACACACACCACACACACGTCAAACTTATAAAACCCCGTCGGTTTTGCGTCGGGGTTTAAAAAAATACAAAACCAACGATGACAAAAAAGCACAGGAACAAATATTAAATTGTGATTAGGATTATTTAACAACGCAAAGTTCTCACCATCAACTGTGAACCAGTACGGCCGGATCTGCATGAGGAATCCGATGTGAATGAATCTTTCATCGCGGCAGTAGATCTTTGATTTGGAGTACCTGTTCCATTATTAAAAAGATTAGTAGTTTTGGTCCCACCTAAACAAAGGGAAGGAAATAACGACTATTTGTGTAATAATGACACGTGAACTTATTTTAATGTTAATGTGAGATTATTTTAATATGTAATTTGAACTTAATTTGTCACCATACATTTCAATTTTAATTTTATTGTAATCTATTGACATTTAATTTAATAGTAGTTTATTAATGTATTTTTTTATATAAAGGAATTAAAGGCTATAATAATTATAATGACAAGTGAACTACTTCTCGCAGGTCTGCCTCGTTACTAGATTGACTTCGAATTGATTTTCAAATCCTCAACTTTTATTAAAATTGGAGTTACTGATTAAGCTGTGACTCATTACATTAGTTCAACAACTAGATATCGATCAACAATCTAACGGAACAGCTCCACACGTAATGAGCTTTGAGTGCATTTAGTTTAATCCAAAGTCAATCGAATTACGTTGCATACCGGTCAGCAAGTAAGTATCGGTTTACGTAGCGCCAAACCAGACAATTCGTTTTTAACACGTATGTGAGTATCATCAAAATCCTACCTTAGAGTCATAGGAGAGAAATTTAGGTGTTTCGCATATGCGGAAGTATTTTCTATAGACATAGACACACTCAAGGTAACGCTATTTAATTATACCATATCATATCTGAGGAATTGTCCTGAGATCTCAGATTTTTTGGTGTCTTCTCAGAATTGTGGGCGAATTTTGCAAATCTTAGGAAATCTCAGGATTTTAAATAAAATAAAGTATATTTCAAAGATCTCTTTAAAATGTTATACAAGTTTAAAATAATCTTCTTAACTTTGCGATATGCGAGATCCCCCAAGATTTACAGTGTGTAGGTAAAAACGATGATTATTTGACATTTTAACGTTTGAGAAAAAAAATCTCGAATTGCGATGTAATCTTATGATTAATCAATGGATATCAGGCCTTTTCTCCTATATATAAGTACCTAGCTAAAAGTATTTTATTGTATCTACCTCTCATAAAGTACGTTCGCCTCAGTCTCATTGTTCACGATGACTAGGTGTCCACCCTCTGAGGAGCAGGCCATGTACGCGCGCCACCACGTCACACATTCAGGGTGGAATTTGTAGCAGCTGCCGGTGCGATGGTCAAATTCATACTCTGTGCAATAAACATTGGAAATCTATTTTTAGAATAAGACATATAATGGTTTTCTCAATCAATAAATAATAAGCTTAATTAGGAAACACCTAATTTCGCCTAAGCAGATTAGTTTAATTCCAAGTAAACATTTTTTAATTTATCACTTGATACATTTGTGACCTATCATATATAGCTCAAGGTGCCGCATAACGTATGTCGTAGCTTTACACATTGCTAAATATCATTCCTAGTTAATGAAATGCATTAATTCCTAAATATTGAGGCGACAGATTTGGGCGACTTCTAAGTTTAGTAAATACGGGCATAAGTATACTCTCTTGAAATCTTAGACATATATCTTAGACACTATATCCTCCTATAAATAAGGTATTTTTGATACAATCATGAACAACAAGGTACGATAACATTCACAATATATTGAAAAATAATATGCTTTCTATATGCCTTTGTGGGTCGTTCGTTGGGTCTCTGTATATTTCTGACATCAAATTCGGTACAATCTTTTAATTACTAATAATCTTTTAATATGATTTTTGATGAGAGGAGCTCGAGTGGTCAAATCGTTCAGTCAGCGATGCGAAGCAAGCAAATTTTGTAAGGGTCGATCATAGGATGGGTAACCAAAAATTTTATTACCACGAGTTCTTCCGTTCAGAAAATACTCTAAGCGTTGCCCCCGTTCTCAATTTTCCGTTCCATACCATCCTATTTACTAAAGGTATATGACAACTAGTAGGTAGTGCTTTGACAAAATTACTTGCAGTGAAGATAGTTCCTGAGCTAGTTCTGGCTTTGTCTAGTTGCGTCAAGCACATGCAATGCAGTGTTTCGGATGCAGATCCCGATAGTATGGTATAAATTAATTTTCTTCCTTACCTTTGTCAGAAGTGCCACACTCGGTGATGGTCTCATTGCCGAATCTTTCCTTATAGCACATGTATGTGCGCACCTCCTCGCATTTGACGTCAGCTATGGATCCATCCGGCAGTATGGCGAGGCACCGCTCGTTATCATCCAGATTGTCGGGCTCCCCCTTTGCCCATTGTATAGGCATATCTAAGAAGTTGATACCTGTCAAAAAATGGGTTCGTATAACTTTGCACTTATAAAAAGGATTATTTTCGGCTAATTATGTGTTATTTTTCGAAACGCTACAACCGCCTTCAAAATGAGTGTTGTTATTCATTTTTACGACGAGTAGTTTGTTCCGAAAGATTATATAGTACTATATAATTCATAGGTTTAAACACTTTGATCCAAGATATAACTCCAATATAATAATATTTCGATATATTTGTTATGGTTTAAAAAATCGGTCTACAAATCGCAAAGATATTGCAAAAGTAACCGGCTGAAATTCTAGACGAGGGATAAAAAGTATAATGGTTTGAAATGCTTGTTCGAGCTGAAAACAAAAACTGAATGAAGAAATAATCTACGTTGATATACATAAACAAAACATATGTATTTGCATATTGTACCAGTCGACCATAGAACTTATTTTGAAGTTTAACTAAATTTCAAAGGTTGATATTAACGCTGTAATCTCTTGTGTATCGTTTGTACCTTCGATAGACTTGTAGTCGCCTGTGTGGGTGAGTGAGTTTACGCCTGTGAAGGAGGCATTATTGCGCGATAACATCAGACTCTTCATAGCCGAGTACAGCTGGTAGTTGATAGGTGACATCAGTACAGCGCCTGCACACAGACCAGTGGGCTAATTGTTGAAATATATTGCAGTCCCTCTCAAAGGTGTAGCGATTGTGATTGAAATTTATGGAAGTATATAACTTTTAAAGTCGCAATTGCTTTTGGAACGATTGTTGATTTGAATGGTCAAGAAATCTAATTAAAACTTACCTAAACCGATCGAAATTCAAATCTCATTAACTAGCTTTGTTACAATGCGTAGTAGTGCCTGTTAGGCACTCTAAAAACTTTGTATGCAAAAATGGAGATTGTTTGCTGGTTAACATTTGAAATTTTACAAAATCTTTCGTGATTTTGGTTCTTCGATATGTGTAGTGCATTGTTAACATGCTGTGGTGTATATCTGATGAATACTTTTTAAAATTGTTTATGTACGAATCTATTTATCTAAAAACACAATGATTTCTATGATATAATTAAAAACATACGCCTAGTCTATAATTCTATCTATATACATCCTATATTATGTCTTAACTGTCTTCGAACAAAATTGCACACATTATATATATGAATGTCCTATCTCACAATTACGATATTATAATTCTAACCGAGAATTGGTTGATTGAGAACATATCTGATAGTGAAATGTTTAATACACGGTACAGAGTATTCCGTTTTGAGCTTGCAGCAACACCGCGCGTATTTCCTCTCCCCACTCATTCTTGCCCCGCTGCAGTTAGCGCACCATCATTTTCGTCTCCAAGATCTCCTCTTGTTGATTGAGTACTAATCGAATTACGATAACGCAATTACTGTTGTGTGTATTTCGCCTAAATTAAACGCAGATATATACATGTCACACTTCAATGATCTTCTAGAAATATTTCGGGCTCCCGATGTAAAGATTTTATTATCGTCGGTGATTTTAATCTACCAACCCTAGAATGGTGTAATCGTGGATCTCACTTAGAGCCGATCATGTCAAATACCGGTTGCTTATCTAATAAACTTTTAATAAATTTATTGGTCACGCTAGCTATTATTATACCACAACAGCATGGTTTTGTTAAACAGCGATCTACAGCCACCAATTTGTTAGAGTACACATCACGTCTGTTTGAAAGTATTGATGCTATATATACAGATGTCCAAAAAACCTTTGACAGGGTTGACCATCGGTTATTACTTGAAGAATTAGCATTCAATGGCACACGCGGAACGCTCTGGCGGTGGTTTAAGTCATACATTACAAATCGCACTCAAAAGGTTGTTATTAATGGACATTAATCAAACTTCGTCCCAATAAGTTCGGGCGTCCCTCAAGGTTCAATATCCTCTGTTATTTTCTCTGTAGATCCTTTGTTATTTTCACTGTTTATTAATGATGTTTGGAATTGCTTCAAATATTGTAGTTTCCTCATGTACGCCGATGATCTAAAAACTTAACACACCATAGAGAGTAGTAGTGATCAAGACAAGTTTCAGTCCGATCTCAATAGATTCTCTACCATTTTAATGGTAAAATACTCCAAAAAAATGAGGTTATTAGAGATCTGGGAATCATATTAGATAATAAGTTGCATCTTGTTCAATATATAAATGATATTGTTAGCAGATCTTTCAAACCTCTACTTACCTTGCACTTTATAGTTAGATCACAGCTAGAATATGCGATACCCTCTGGAATCCTTTTTATAATAAATACATAGAAACACTTGAAAATGTCCAAAAAAGTTATTTGTCCTACGAGCAGGAAAGTTCTTAGAAAATCAAAAACTGATTACATTAGCCAGTTATTAGTTTTATTATATCTTTTCAAAATATTGTCCATTCACGTCAATACACCGCTGCATGCGATGGAACCACTGGGAAAAGCACTTTGCCCACTCGTCCTTAGGGGTCTCTTCAATGGCATCGCGATACGCAGCCACCGCTTCTTCAGCATTCATAAACCGCTTTCCTTTAAGTTTTTCTTTAATTTTTGGAAATAAATAAAAATCACAAGGCGCGAGGTCGGGGCTATACGGCGGGTGACCCAGTAATTCAACGTTTGATGTCGCCAAATAGTCGATCGTTCGCTTGGCGGTGTGCGACGAGGCGTTGTCGTGGTGAAGGAGGATCCTACTGCGAGGTCGTTTCTCTCGAACTTTTTCCAAGACAAGTGGCAAACAATTGGTAGTGTACCATTCTGCAGAAACTGTTTTTTGATCCTCTAACACAATTGTTGCAAAATGACCTATCCTTCCAAAGAACGAGGCCACCATTTTTTTTCCCGCACTTCGATCTCTCTTCACTTTAGTTGGCAACTCCTCGAAAGGAAACACCCACTGAGCAGATTGTCTTTTGGTTTTAGGATCATAACAGTAAATCCAGCTTTCGTCACCTGTTAGTATGTCGAACACAGCATTTGAGTCACCTCCGTTAAATCTTTCAATCATTTTACGACACCAATCCACACGATGGAGTTTTTGAGCCTCAGTCAAATTATGAGGTATCCACCGGGCGCAAAGCTTCCTGACCGCTAAATGTTCGTGGAGGATTTTGTGCACTTGACTCATACCGATGCCTAAGCTTGTCCGAATCTGTTGATAGGTCACTCTTTTGTCAGTCTCTATCATACGCCGCACAACACAGATGTTATCTTCAGTCGTCGCCGTAGAAGGCCGTCCCTCACGTAAATCATCAGTGAGATTAGTGCGACCACGTTTAAACTCATTAAACCAGTTGTAAACAGTCGCACGAGATGGGGCTTCATCGTGAAAGGCCAATCGTAGTCTATCATAACTTTCTTGTTGACTTAAATGACATCGAAAGTCATAAAAAATCATTGCACGAAAATTTTCTCGTGTTAAATTCATGATGACGTGACACAGACAATTTTCAATTTGCCGCCAAATCGTAAAATAAATGACAAATGAATGAAATATATACTCAGTAATATTGGCAAAGAGTTATATTTTCAAATTTTAGAATTATTTTTTTATTATATTGTTTATAAGTGGCCAGTTCTAAGAACTTTCAGTTTGACCCTCGTATCTCTTTAATAAATAAACTAAGTTACAGAACCAACCAACCAGAACTCGTTGTAGAAATCAATGTAAATTATTTGCAACTGCCCGATGCCGAACAAATGCCGGCAAGCGCTCACCACTTTACCGTATGGTTAATGCATTTAACATGTCTTTTAATTCGATAGTTATTATGGCGGTGAGTCCTGGTATATTTAAAAAAAATGTTACTTGAAATACTCCATTAAACACATAAGTAGTCTATATTGTAATTAAGTAATAGGTTGGAATTTTAAAACTGTAGTCGTGTAAGAGTTGTAAAAATCAATCCAAAAACCGAGTAATGAAAATATGGTGTAGGCGGCGATTTTAAAAATTATTATATATTTTAATTTTCACTGTACCCAAATAAATGGAAAAAAAACTAATTGGTATATGAAAAAATTACCAGATGTTTGAAAAATCTTTTACTTTGGAAAAGTTTAGAAAATATGTAACTTTTACACCTAGTTACACAAATGTCCTATAAAATTATTATTAGTTTATAGCGTCATAACCTATAGAAGTTTTCCAATTTAGAACATTCTTTAGAGAGATTCCTTTGAGCATTAAACCTTAATGTACGTTTGTGCAACTGGGTGTAAGTGACACAATAACTGTTACTTAGGATGATTTCTTATTTATTATATATATGATTATACTCTATGATAAAACATCAAATGTCTCACTGGCACTTTCGAAAAATATAATTACCTTCATAGTAGCACTTGAGTCTTGCCTCGAACCAGGTAGCCGGCACTCCGTGGAATTTGATCCATCCATTGGCTTCAGGACTGTACGTGTAGTCGAGACGGAATTCACCCTCCCCTATTCAAATTTCCACCAAATAATGTAATACATAACAATAAAATTCCATCTGTTGGCGAGCGGATTTGGTAAATATTAGTGAAGTTTTTCTAATATTTACCTAATTTGAAGTTTGGAAAATTATTAGTTTCATTGAAATTTGTATAAGACAATTTTTGTCGGCTAATATTAGGTAATTTATGTATATTTATATCTACATAAGGCCACGTAGGACCGAGCCAATTATATTTATATAATATAATAAAACAAATACTAGATATAACTCCAATATAATAATATTTCGATATATTTGTTATGGTTTAAAAAATCGGTCTACAAATCGCAAAGATATTGCAAAAGTAACCGGCTGAAATTCTAGACGAGGGATAAAAAGTATAATGGTTTGAAATGCTTGTTTGAGCTGAAAACAAAAACTGAATGAAAAAATAATCTACGTTGACATACATAAACAAAACATATGTATTTGCATATTGTACCAGTCGACCATAGAACTTATTTTGAAGTTTAACTAAGTTTCAAAGGTTGATATTAACGCTGTAATCTCTTGTGTATCGTTTGTACCTTCGATAGACTTGTAGTCGCCTGTGTGGGTGAGTGAGTTTACGCCTGTGAAGGAGGCATTATTGCGCGATAACATCAGACTCTTCATAGCCGAGTACAGCTGGTAGTTGATAGGTGACATCAGTACAGCGCCTGCACACAGACCAGTGGGCTAATTGTTGAAATATATTGCAGTCCCTCTCAAAGGTGTAGCGATTGTGATTGAAATTTATGGAAGTATATAACTTTTAAAGTCGCAATTGCTTTTGGAACGATTGTTGATTTGAATGGTCAAGAAATCTAATTAAAACTTACCTAAACCAATTTAGGTAATTTATGTATGTTTATATCTACATAATAAGGCCACGTAGGACCGAGCAAATTATATTTATATAATATAATAAAACAATTACTATTTTAATAACGTGTAAATATAAAATGTAGTTTTCTTCAAAGATGATAATATTTATAAAATAGTTCGGATAAAATTTCTCTTTTTTCAAAATTGTTATTTTTCAGAGATAGGTATTAAATTAAATGTTCACTGGTACCTGCTAATCCTTCTTTCACTATAATTGTTAATACACACAAAACAATTACTTCAATGTAACTACGATTCGCCATTGTATCACCAAAGGAAATATCTGTACAATAAAGCGTGTCTTTTTCGTTCATCCTATTTATAGATACGAAATCGGTTATCTCTTTAAAACGGTTACCACTTAAAATTGGGCTGATTTTGATTGCACTGTGTCCATTACACGCGTACGTGACGGATTAATAGACTAAAATCACACTCTAATATAAGAGTTCTCTTTGCATTTTCTTTATAACTAGATGTGCCCGCGACTTTATTCGCGTGGAAAGTAGCCTTAGTTACTCCTTATTACATATGCCATCTGCCAGCAAAGTCTTGTCAATATCATTTCAGCCGATTCAGAGATTATCCGAAACAAACAGACAGACAAAAAATGCAAAAATGATATTTTCCTTTAAGTACCGTCTATACATACATTTGCATTTAGTAAAAAGTGCTTAATTTAATATTACAAACAGACACTCCAATATTATTTATGTGAATATAGGTAGATGAAAGAGTTTACGATTGGCGATGATGAAATTAATCTACTGCTACTGTTAAATTTCAACGTAACTTTATTAGAAACAAAGATAAACTTGTTTTGCCGACATGCAGGCTAAAGAAGGTTCTATCGTCATTTATGGGTCAAGGTTTACACTATAACAAAATTCCTATGGAAATTTTAAATTTACCATTATCTAAGTTGAAAACCCATATTAAGAACTGTCTACTCAGTAAAGAATATTATACTGTAAATCAATATTTAAACGACAAAAATGCTTAGTTTTTAAACTCACACGATTTGTATACATTATAATTATATGTAATCGGGTCTTGTTCGTGCATTATTTTAAAACTATTCATTTACCTCGACGTTTCGGCTACGTTGCATCAGCCGTGGTCACGAGGAGACTGGAGAAACTGGCGGGTGTCGTCTTCTGCTTTAAGTTGAGGCGTGACGATAATCCGGTAATAATATTTTTAACAGATTTGTTGATGTACCCTTTGAGTACGGCTGCTGCAAAGTAGCCGAAACGTCGAGGTAAATAAATAGTTTCAAAATAATGCACGAACAAGACTCCGTTAAATATAATTATAAAACTGCTTGGTGTTAAATATGGCTCATTTTTCATGTGTGACGAAAATACTGTTTTACTCTTATATTTTCTAATATTGTAATGGAAAGTGACTTCATATTTTAATGTAGTCACTTTTCAAACTTGACGCTCTGTATGACATAAAACAGGGAGAAAAAAGCAGCCCTTGCCGAGTTTCTTGCCGGTTCTTCTCGGTACAAGGTTTCCCGCTGTCGATTTACGAACCGATGGCGTAGCTCTCGACTTTCACAAGTGCTTGTAACAGCCTAGACTGAAAAATAATTTTGATTTTAATTGAATCGTATCTGTGAACGACTACGGTGTAAGAATCCTCACCAAGCCTCGGTGCGGAACAGGTGGAGAGCTGTGGTGCTACCACAGTTCATGCCTGAACACGACTGTCCTAACAAGAGTATACGACGATGAAAAAGAAGCTTTATTCCACTTTATTTGGTTTAAATACAGCACGTGTATCATGACAAACTCGAGAAACGCTTTGTCTTCACCCAAATGTCACTTTCTCGGGTCGAGAGTGAGATGCATACACAGTAGACAGTTATAATAGGGTAGGGTGTAATTTGTTGTAATTTTAAAATACCAAAATACCATTAAATACGAATAGTTTCCGATCTGACACATTATAATATTTGTTAATAAATATAGAAAAGACGACATAACGGAAAATGGAATGGACGAAATAGATACTTGTTATAGTGTTGTGGAAACATTCACCCGTAATGTTTGAGTATCTGACAGTTACCCAATATTAACAATTAAATGAGGGTTCAGATGTTCGAGGGTGATTCCTGAGAGGCTCAATTTTGGATGTCAGGAAGGATATCTCGTATATTTAACTACGTTCATTTGTCAGGTATTTTTTCAAATAAAGTTTGAACTATAATTTTGGTGTAAAATTATAAAGAAGAAGACTTAATTTAATATTTTCTTTATTTTTCAAATGACTGAAAATTGACTTTCATTTCAAAAGATAAGTACTAAGTCAAATAAAAACCACCTCGGCTCTGTCATGGAAGGCAACAACAAATAATCACCTCAAAATACATATATTTATTACTTGAATTCATATTTTTTATACCACAATGCCCTGAAGCAAGCAAAGGAAAGAGGAGATTTTGAAAAAGAGAGAAGCAGAACGTCGTCTACACGAACTAATAAAAAATTATACTCAGTGTAAGGCTAAGCTAAAGGAAAAATATCTGAAACAGAAAATAATCCGGAAAATAATACCAACAACAAAAAAAATTGAGGACGAAGAATCGTCAAAGTTCGAATAGAATAAATTAAAGAAAATATGAGACATCTGTAAGAAAACAATGATTCGATTGGAGTAAACTTAGAAGGGGAAGACCAACAGGTATTGTGTAAGAATCCAATCATCATCGTCAGCCCTTTTTACCTCCCCACTGCAGGGGCTGAGGCCTTCCTTATGGATGGTTAAGGAGGATGGGCCATGACTCTCCACGTTGGCCCAATGCGGACTGGAGGGTTTTAACGACTGCAAATGCAGCCGGGACCAACGGCTTAACGTGCCTTCCGCAGCATGGAGTAGCCCGAGAAAATATTTTTTTGGTCACCCATCCCGTGACCGACCCTCACGAAAGTTGCTTTACAAAAACGATTGCGGGCCGCGGCGCTTATCCACTACGCCACCGAGCTACCAATATTAAAGAATCCAATAAGTGACAATAATCCTTTAAGACTTTCTACTTCTGTAAGTGGTAACGACTTTCCAGCTGCAAGTTTATCAATTTCTCCCGCTGTCACCAGAAAGAAGCCTCCTGGAAACGATATCATTGCTCGATTAACAAGACGATCAAATCGATCATTAACAAAATTGTTATCGCAAGCAGAAACAAGCTCTTGGGAAATTACGAACAACACAGATCAACAAGGCATTGTTTATTCGTCTCCACCACCTTCACCTACCAATAATCAGCTTCTTCTATTTCTCAAACCACATCTGATTCGTTAAACTTGACCACACTTCGAAGGTCACTCCATTCAGATTAACACAACCCCTACTACAAAGCAGTCCATAAAAAAGAGATCCCCTTGGAAACATTTTTTGAGAAAATTTAGATAAAGAACAAATTAATAATTTCTGACTTAGATTGTTGAATTAAAATTTAAAAACAGAGATTTTCAATGAAATTTGTTTCATTTTTTGATTTTCCTATGAGTCATTATAGATTTTCCAGGCCACGAAATTTCAAAATCAAATGTCTTGGAAACCATTTGAATTGAACAGAAACGGGTGCCTATCAAAAAATATTACAACCAGTGAGTTGCATAAACGTCCGTTAAAGTTCTCATTAGTTTAAAGTGACATTACCCATACAATTTTGACGTTCATTGGAGCTTTAAGGTGTCATTAAACCTTAATGGATGTTTGTGCAACTGGCTGTATGGCTCTTAATTTTAACCCCGACCCAAAATATATTCGTTATTTTGAGATAACAACAGGAAAATGAACAGGAAAATCAATTCAAAAACATTATTCTCAGGAATCTGAAAAAGAAATTGCTGCCTGGTGATAAACTCTGCGACATCACCGACCTATAATCTTCTGTTTTTGTATTTCATGTAAACAAAGCGAAGATAGTTTACAACTTACAGTTTAGCAGACTGAAGTTTAAAAACACTCCAAAAATAACTGTACTGACCATAGATGGGTTTCAATAGTTTCCGTTTTGATTATAATAATTATAATCAAAGATATTTACAGGACAAATGATTTTATATTTTGAGAGTATTTGCCTTTATTTATTTAAATTCACCTACAGTTACCGCTATATTTGAACATACCATAAATCATAATTTTACATATTATTTTCTTTTTATATAATGAAATGTTTATCTAGAATCAATAATACACTTAAATATCAATGTACATATAGGAATATTTTTTCTTTTCGGTAAACATTTTGTACCATTGATTTTTTAATTATGTTTGTACAAAGTAAATTACAGTATGGATATACATACATACGTACTCTTTGCTCACCAACTAATTTATCAAAGGATTTTTTGTAACCATAGAAACCGCTTCTCGTTGCCATGGCAACGTTTATTTCAGTTGTCAATAGCGTTCCAACAAGTGCACATAAAGAATAATAGTATTTTTATAAAATTATGTATGACAAAATAAGTGTCTAAATAATAAATTAATGTTAAAGTTTATGAAATAGATATAAATACAAGTTTTTGAAGAAATAATAAGTATGTATGTTGCACGTAAAAATATATATTAATGTTACTTGATTGCTTTGAAAGTTTAGTCCTGATTACAGAGTTTGTACTATGATTTCTGAATTTTTACACTTTTCAGGATTGCAGACGGTTTTTGAAAATCGCTAGGAATGATCAATAGAATAAAAAAACTTCAATATTATTTTAACCTGTGTCTGTTTAACATTGTAATCTTTAAGAAGAAACTAGTTAAAATAATTAATTAGCTTTAATCTTTTTAATGCACAAAATTGAGAAAAGAAATACTATTTAATCAGTTTTATCATATTTAGAGGTACTCATGTTTGAGTAATCTTTTTGCTTTCATTCCAAACTCCGATAAAATCTCAGGAGTTTTCACTGGAAATCACTCTCGGTTTCTTCAGATATATATTTGTTCCAAAGATTTAGCACACCGATGTATTTTTGTATTTAACCATTTTACGGTATTCGATTCCTTTTCCTGTTAGAAATCTATATTATCATTAAAGTTTGAGAATAAAAAAAAAACTTGCATTTACTATACTAATAGTGTAAGAAACATGTAATAACTGTGCTGAATAAATACTATAATTATTATGAATATATACCTTTTTAAGTGCATACAAAAACTAAGTTGAAGGTTTACGCAGACCAATAAAACTGTTTTTACATTTAATCTGATTTTTAAACCCGAAAATTTCGCCAAAGAACTATTG